TGTGCTTCGATTTGTTAGGACACAAGGTCTCCGCTGGACCCTCCCGGACCACCCATGGTCTCTATCCCATGGATGCTATCAATCAGCCTCAACCTTCCTGTGGGCAACCTACTCATAGTACAACCTGGCATACCATAATTGTAATCTCTTTCTAATTGTACTACCCTTAATCTTATTATCATTACTACTACTACTCCCTCAGCCCTTAAAACTATATATAAGGTAGAATAAATAACAGACAACAATAATAAGGAATCCTTAAGCACTTTGAAAGATATAAAGTGCTTGCTGTATAACACATTTAAACATTTAAAGTGCTAGATGTGTGTCCTACAACACTGAATTATTCTAAGTACTTGCTGTTCAGTAATCAAACTGCCTGGGGATAAATACTGGTGTTGAGGCGGCTGGTCTGAGCTCTGATTCTCTCTAGGCATTTACCTGTGGGAAGGAAAGAGAACAGACCATGTGCTGGGTGGCTGCTGTCCTCCAAAATACTTAGGGCCTTCCTTCTGCAGCAGGAGGTGTAAATGTCCTAAATCTTCCAACGGATTGATAGAGTATAGTGTTTAGATTGTTGCAACAATAGTATTTTGACCTGAGTGCAGTGTGCATGATTAGGACAGCTATAATCTTATGAAACAACTGGTCAGTAAAAGCAGATAGAGTCTAACTCTGCTGAAACATCTGCAGTGAGTGACCACAAACACTCCACTACAACAAAGGCAGTGGAACCTAAGTTGCTAATTGTATACATATGTTCCTCTAGCAACATCTATATTTTGTTAGCTGCCCAGTGATGTAATCCCAATCACTTGTACGTACTGATGTGGTATCACAGGATTTTGTTCTGGAACACAAGCAGAGCAGAAAAACACTGCGTGATACCTGCTGTGATTCAAACATGTGTATATACATTTGTCCATTCTAATGTTACAGCCGTTTTGCTGTTTGTCCGGAGACCTTATGGTGTGTGTGTGTGTGTGTGTGTGTTTGTGTGTGTGTGTGTGTGTCTGATGCACAGCTCTTGTGACACATGGCCTCAGACAGGCTGTGTCTAGAGGGAGAGAGAGTCTTCGATGGGTGGGACTGAAAACAAGTGACGCATGACTAAGAGGCCCAGGAAGTTCCAGCAGGCAGCTGTTATTGCTGAGTGTGTGGGTGTGTGTCTATGTGTGTGTTTATGTGTGTACGTGAGTGTGATCCGGGGGCCCAGAGGGACTGTGTGGGGCAATCCCGGCTGGAGTGTCTGGAAAAACTCTATGGAGTGACAAAAGCAGCAGTGTCCCTTGCGGCATATCTGTCTGCTGCCTTGGCTGCAACACTTTATTGCCTCTTGGAGGGCAACAGAAATGAAACCGTAAAAGTAGGCCGACAAAACAACAACAAACTGTATGCGGATGTATGTGTGTATGTGCACATACATGCATGTGCAGTCTGAAAGCTACTTAATTACAGCAGCAGGGAGAAAAACAATTAGTGACTTCCACCCCTTGCAGTGTTTTACAACATGGGGTTAGTGATTTAAAGGGACAGTTCACCCCAAAATCAAAAATACAGATTTTTCTGTAGTGCTATTTATCTCTCTAGATTTTTTTTTGGTGTGAGTTGCCAAGTGTTTGAGATATCAGCAATCTGATATCTGCCTTCTCTCAAATAAATTGCAACTATGCGGCACTTGGCTTGTAGTGCTCAAAGCATTACTCAAAATAATCCACAGACCTTGTTGTGAGCAGTCTCATGCAGGAACTATTTTCTCTCTACCAAATTACACCCACAAAACGCATCACTGCACAGGAGGTAGCATGCATGCTAATTCACCTCGCATCACTGAGCAAGCTAATGTAACAGCTCAGTCAAAGGGGACGCCATGAATGTTTACGTCTCACAATGTCACAAGCATGAGCCACTTGTCCATGAGTAGATGCACACTTCTTTCTGCATGATTATACACCCTTTTACTGTTGTCATTTTTGGTGGGCAGGGCTTAGCTGGAGGAAAAACAATTCTCCACAGACATTAGCCAGCGCTAGCTAGCAAGTTCTGTTGGCTTGTTTTAGACAATGGAGGAAGATGATACGAGTGGTGCATTCAGAAATACTCATTTCAAGTGCCAGAGCGCACTCTGGTACAAACTGGACCGTTCGTAAATTCGGAACACTGTCGGAATGTACTGTTCAGATATTCAGAGCACCACACTCTTTGGAGTGGCAGGGTGCTGTCTTGGTCTAACTTAACCGTTTGTTAATTTATATAGAAATAAACGCTCAGTTTCTTCGACCAACAGGGCTCTCATTTTAGTGTAAAGCTGAATTTACGCACGCACCATGTCAGGTCACCCACTCTCTGGGACCACTTGATAACATGACATAATAACTACTACACGAAACATTTTTCACCCTTACAACAGGAAATACTTTTTCCTTAACCTGATATGAAGTGTGTGCTGCACATGGGCGCATTTTTGATGATCGCCTCCATCCAGTCCTTTCGTCTTATCACATTTAACCACAGTTGTCTTTGTTTTTTTATGGGCAGTGATGGCTGGTATGTGATAAAATTCAAGTTTTGAGCCATGACTCCTTCTATTCTGGCTCCCAGTAACACAAAAAGACCACACTCTAAGACTCATATGTAGCCTACAGCCCTGTGGTGGAGAGTCATGTTTTGCCTCCAGCTAACAAACTGACATCATTGTGACGCTGACCCTAAAAGGGGCTATACGGTTAGTGTGGTTCGGTAGAAAGAAAATGTTTTCTACATGAAACTGCTCAAAACAAGGTCTGTGGATTATCTTGAGTAAGTGGCTCATGATTTCTGGAAAGACACAATGCTGCTGAATTTTTCAAATGCAATTTTTTGTCACTTTGAGCACCACAAGCTGAGTGCCATCTAGTTACATTACATACAATAGAAGGCAGACATCTCTGTAGCTGATATCTCCAACACTGTGCAACTTACATCAAAAAAATCTAGATTGATAAAATGTTCTACAGGTAAGAGAAAATATATGTATATTTGATTTCTGGGGGTGAGCAGTCCCTTTAATTCACATCGCAGCATGAAAAAATCAAATATATTTATACTTCCTTTAAAGCAGTGCATTTCACTTGTACAATAATACAACATTTTTCAAATCCAGATTAATAGTGAGCTAAAACTATATGATTTTGAGGGCTGCTCTGTCTGCTAGACTTGTTTTCTGCTGCTCACATGACCTGTCTCTGACCCAAAGTCACTCACTCCCCAGATTGCATTGCTACAATGAGCATTCAACTGGGATGGCGGTGACGCACTGAGCGCAGAAAGACAATAGCTTACCTCAGCCTGGCAGACATAGCAAACCTCAGTGCTATCAGACCCTCTCTAATCTCAGCCCATGGGACAGCCGTGTCTTTCCTGCTCCCACATGGCCAGATCAGACACAACGATGGCCTAGACAGGACATTAGGACCTAACTTGGTTACATTGTGAGCTTTGCTGTGAGGAAACATCCAGTCTGCATTATAACTAATCATATCTATGTTACGCATGCCAGGCTGGGAAATTAAATTATTGTGTCATGGAAATATTAAGTTGTTTCATTGTTAGAACATGTTACAGAAAATATTTTTTATGCATAATAATGAACACTGCAGGAGCTGGTTGCATGCAGGGCTACTCTCCTTAAGAGCATAAAACTGGACATTTGTAAATAAAAATCAGGCCAGATGGTCTGAGAGATGTGATTGGCTGATGGGCGGTCGGATGGGAACTCCTACTTTCTCTCAACATGTGTTGCCAAGCCCCACAGATACTCCAGACTTTTATGACATGTTCATAGCCGTCAATCTGCAGTTATGGTAATCACATTAAGAATACCTGTGCAAAAAATAAATACTGAGGAAATTTTAATTTACATCGCTGAAAATAAAAACAGACCTAAAAACAAAATAAAATCAATCATTTCTTTCTCCAGTTGTTGTGTAACTAAGTGATCTCTGAGGCCTTAGCTGCTATCTCAGGGCCGCCAGAGAGCTGCCAACAAGAACTTGGCTGTGCTCACATAAAACAAGAGAATGCATTTCCCATGTGAGGGGCTACTTATTTACTGTTTTATGTCTCAGGTTTGACACTTGATAAAATGGTTCCAACAACTACTGTCAGATAATCAAGGACAGCACACAAATCCAACTTTGACAAGATGCGTTGCTCAAAAACAGATGCTACTTTTAAACACTTAAAGTATGTCTGTTGGGCGCAGGAGGTGGTTGACAGGAATCCAATGGAAAAGTAAAATGTGTCAAAATAAATCCAGTGCTGTGCCAGATTGCAAAAACACATCTCTGTGGTTTATATGTGAACAGGGAGTGCAGGGGGGCCTGAACCTGCAGGGATAAGAGTTCAGAGACACAGTGTGCTGATACGTGATACAAATTTGATGGTGGAGGCTTTAGTGTTGGTATGTGAGTACAAATTAAGGACACCTTCACTCGGTGTTCCCAACATATAATAACCTGACTGAAAATGTTATAGATTCCAAAGGAAACTTACCAAGAGTATTGTATCCTCAGTGGCTGGCTACAATGTGAAATACAGTAACACTCTTCAACAACTGATACACAAAAGCACCACCATGTGGCAATATTATATAAGGCACACAGCTATTAGTCTTAATCAAATGCACATACACAAATATTCATTTTTTAACAGTAAAATAAGCAGCTTTTTAATTCCTTTTGTTTACACCTATTGTAAAGCAATTAATTAATTCACTATAATCCATTTTAAACGTTCATATTAATGTTTGTTTACTATTCTTATAATAGATAATGTATAACATGTCATGTAATACTCAATTTTTTTACTCTTAATGTTTATTTTATTTATTCATTTTACACATTTTGTTGTGATCTATGATGCAAAGCAGTTTTTTCAATCACATGGTTTGTCGTATTTTCGAGGAGGGTTAACATTGACCTTTCCGGTGCTCCGTAGTTCTTCCTCTTCTCTACCTGTTTAGTAGTTAAAGATGGCGGAAGCTCCTCCATGGCCCAGCCGGTTCTTCTGTCACAGATGCTCCGCAGAGATCAGTCCTCGGCTCCCCGTGAGTACCGTAGACAGAAAGTAAAGACAGAGACAGTTGGGCAAATGAAAAACACATTAGTGTTGGTGTTAATGTCGTAGAAATCGCATTAGCAGCCGGGCCAACAGATAGCACGCTAACACCGTTAGCTGGCTGACCGTATAGCTTGCTAGCGCTACCCAGCGTTAGCTAGCTTGTTCTCTTAGTAGTAGATCCTTCCAGATAAAAGCGCGAACTGCGTAGTTATTACACACAGATCACTACTACTTTGGCGTACGATATTTGCAGCAACGTTTGGCAGGATCGTCTGCTAATTAATGTAGGTTTTACGTGGTATCGTAGCCTAACGGTTAACGTTAGCTATTTTCACTAGCCACAGCTGTTATCTGTAACGCTGATCGTCTCCAACTATCGACTTCAGGTATTTCGTTATTACTGAACGTAGTTGACACTAGCCTGATTTCTTAACGGTGTTTGTGAACGATCCAGCAGTAACAATGCCACTGTGTCCCTTTCTTGTGCAGCCATTCAGTAAAACACACAAGTGGCACGTCTGTCACAGGCTAGAATCATCTGTCACAGAGCTGTAAATGTGCGTTTCACAATGTCAAATATCAGCCATAGGATTCTGTGGGTTGCCGGTAACACCCTGTGGTTGCATCAACACCTCATACACCTGTGCATCTGCTGTTTTATTGTTTAAAATGGCCCATGTGTCTCATCCATAGCAAAAACAGCAGAGGGACAGCTGCAGGATCAGGGTGTTATAAAAAAAAAAAGAAACATAAGGACAACAACATCTGTATCCATACATAAGGTGTAAACATAAAGGCAACAAGGCTTATGTGTGTGTGTTGAATGTCAGGTTTCTGTGAGGTGTTCACAGAGTTCCCATTGTCATGGAATTACATAATGTATTTTCCCAGGCCTGGAAAAACCCATGGAATAAGTAAAATTCTTGACATTTCTCTTTAAATTCATGGGATTTCGTTCTGTGTAGTTAAATTAATTCCTTCCAGAATTTATTGTCTTAAACTGGTGACATAGTTTCTCTAACATAGATTGTTGCCTTATGTTTTGTTTATCATCACATATGTTTCTTAAGTTACTCCTCAATGTCCTGTTTCTCTCTTCATGTATGTGTGCTAGCTGGAATCATTCATTAATAGTGATTGAATAACACCAGGCAAGAAAAATACTTTTGTGACAGTGTGATTTAACACGTAGTCTCATGAATCACAAATTTTTCATACATATGCCCCACTAATCCTTTTAAATTGTACCACATATATGAGACATTTAACATTTTGAATAAATTAGCCAACGAGCCAACCGAACTGTCAGCTCACACCCCTCCATTCTGTGAGCTCTTCTCTTCCATTGTCCGCAGACTGCCTATAGTAATATAGTTAACATTTGGAGTAAAGTGTAATGCACAGTTTGGCTCATATTACACAGTGTGAATGGTCATGGAAAATTTTTATCTTGGGTCCTTGAAAAGCTATGGAAATGTTTTGGTGTTTTGTCTCTGAACATGTGTGGGAACCCTGTGCTCAGCAGTCTGATAACTTGAAGGAAGAAGCTGTAGTTTATTGTGGTGGTGTTGGGCTTTATGTTGTGGTATCCACAACCTTTTCCCAAACATCTACATCTGTAGTTTCTCTGGCAGGAAGGCAAAGAGACCCAGCTGGTCCTCTCAGCTGTCCTTGGTGTTCTTTGAGGGACCTACAGACTACAGCTCCGTTATCAAATAGTGCCACAGCAAGCTACTTTTAACAGTGTTCCCTTAGACGGGGGTGAGGATGGGGTGAGACGGCATCCTCTAGTGAGGCCTCTTAGTCAGATTGTTGGTGTTCCAGGAGAGGATCGTCTACAGTGTGTGCTGCAAGAAATCTTGTGTTTTATTCACTACAATGAATGGGGCAGTTGGTAGTTGCTTGCCTGATAATCTTTTGCCAGACCTTCAAACTCGTCACACTGCATGTCTTTGCTTTTAGAGGTTAGAGCTAGGTTAAGTCATATGAGGAGGATTGTCATCACCGCTCTTCTTTATCTCACCTTCCAGCTGTGTTATCAGTAGAGTTGTGTTTGACATATCTCGTTTGCAGTTTACACTTGACACACACTGACGCACCGATAGGCTGCAGCTGTAGTTTTCATGCATGTAACTTTTTTTAGGTCACTGGTTTAGTGACGGATTTGAACGCCAGTAACTGTAATGGAAAGCTGAGCTTGTTGTGATGAGTCTAATGTGGTGGTTTTCTCTTCTTTTTGTTTACAGGAGTACACATGTCCAAGATGTGAGTCAGGGTTTATTGAGGAACTGCTGGAGGAAAGAAGGTGTGTATACTGTATACATTGTTTAATAAACACGGTTTTGCTAATCAAGGCAGCTTTTTTCTTTTACTATCTAAACAAGAAGTCTTTGCAAAGGAAATTCTTTTTTTGTTAAATCTGGGTCTTATCTTCATGTGTTTGGCCGTCATTCCTAACAGTTATGTTACTTATCAACATACACCAGAGTCAAATTCATTGTATGTGTACACATACTTGGCCAATTAAGCTGCTTCTGATTCCTAGAGGTGCAATAATTAGTTGATTAGTTGATCAGGAGAAAATGAATTGTAACTATTTTGATATTGATTAATCGTGTAAGTCATTTCTCAAGCAAAAATGGTAAACATTAGCTGATTCTAGCTTCTTAAATGCAAGAATATGCTGCTTTTTTCATTTATATAGTAAATAAAGGGTCTTTGAGTTTTGGACCATTGGTTGGACCAAAAAAAGTAATTTAAAGATGACACTTTGGGCTCTGGGAAATTGTGATGAGCATTTTCACAATTTTTGAAAAATGAAAATATTGGCAGATTCATTGATAGTAATTACATAATCATGAGTTGCAACTATAAGGGCTAGTAACACAAGCTTTGACCTTGTTCTTTCTGCCACATTTTCAAACAACATGACTCTGGCTCCATACAAGTCTTCTTAGGCCCTGATCACACAGAAAGCGTTTTACTGGCTGAAGGTGCCTTTTTAAGTCTTTTAAATGAGAATGAAGGTTTTTGCGTTGCGCTCTAGGCTCCTGGCGTTTTTGCCAGAGTGCTTTGAATACCTTCACTTTAAAAATGCCCCACGTCATCCCTTTTCTCATCATCTTTTTTCGCATTGTCTTCTGCGGTGGTCACGACAAGTTTACTGTTGATAAACAATGGAGGAGAAACTGGAGGTAGTGGTTGCAGGATACCCAGAGCCATATGGCTCGACAGTAGACAGCAGGTTGTCAAACTGTCGCTCAGTCACCTTAAAATATGCCTGTAGATGGCCATCATGGAAGCGAAGCTCCTGGATCAACTGGTGGTACTCCCCATGATCCACCATCTTTTTTAGGGTCTCATGTACCCACACAGATCTCTGTTTACCTGCTGACAGCCTCTCACCCTCAACCAGAGCTACAGCAAGTACCCTCTGCCTCAACATTTTAGCAACTAACTACTGATTACTGTCAAATAACTAAAATAAATAGATAAATGGTAGATTAGGAGGTGAGAATAAGGAGGTGAGTCTGTGGTTGCCTGGCAACTATAAAAAGGCGCAGCAACCTTCTTCTTTTTCACTAGTGGCATTCAATTTAAAAAAAAAAAAGGCAGTGCACATTTTTCAACCTGCAAAATGCTTTCTGTGTGATGGAGGCCTTATGTTATTTATCACAGCAGAGTCACTGTTATTTATTTGGCGATGCCCTTTAAAAAAAGAAAAATTAGCTTTAGGCACTACTCGACAACAATGGCATGGATTGCTGTCTTTTTCTTGGTCTGGCTAATATTGTATTACTGTCCAATCTTTCAACTATTATGATATTTCAAGGTGTTACAGTTAAAATTGAGATCACATGTGAAATCAGAGGCTGTAGCAGCGCGGCTAAGGGGAAGAAATACGACACAGGAAACCTGATATCATAATTGAGAATGATGGAAAGTATGATGCATGGGGGGGAAAGAGTGAATTTCCTTTAATGTCACTGAGTCGAGACATAACTTTGTCAATTACTTGTCTCCTGTGTAGTGCTGACAATGGCTCCATGTCTACCATCTCCAGCGGGCCCCAGCACCAGCAACCATTTGAGGTTTCTAACCTGTTCTTTTCTCTTATCCGAATCCTCTAGCTCTCTGTTCCTGCTACACTGTTGCGTAATATTGTCAGAATTTCCTGAAGTATTTTCTGTCAGCATTTTTGCTGATGTAGTACTGCACATGATGGAAATCCTCTCAGGGTTTTCCACTTCTGTTTTTGCGACAGATCACAGTCTCGCTCTGTTTAGTATTATATTAAATGACTGAGCTGTTTGTAAAGTAACATTCTTAGCCTAATATGTTGTTCATGCAAGTGCTATGGGAAAACTTCTAACTGAGAAATACCGGGGCTGTGATGATGCAGTCACTGGGTGATTGTGAGTGTCAGCATGCATTTCCGTTTGGTTGTAATTTGAGCTAACAGCAACAGCACTCTCCATGCTTCAGTTGTTTTGTACTGACAATAAATAGTTGAAGTTATGTAGAGAAAGCTTCACTGGTTTCCATCACAAAGACCACAGCACCCATGTTTTTTATTGTGTGCTTTCATCTGTTTTCCTCTCAGAATACGGACCAGCACTTGTTTACATTCCCGTCTGGCTACGGTCAGTTCACCCTGGGTGTCTTTGATGACCGCTTCGACTTCGGGGCCGGACTGGGAACAGAGGATAACAGGGATGCTGAAAACAGGCGAGAAAGGGAAACGGCATCACGGCAACGATATGGTGCCAGGCAACCAAGAAGTCGTCATGGTTCAAGACGACAAGCAGGGAGGCACGAGGGAGTTCCCACTTTAGAGGGGTGAGGAGTGCAGACTGTGACATGTGGGACTTGAGTCATAATCGAGCACAAATGGGACTTAAGTCATTCTCTTAATAGCAGCACACTTAGACATGAGTGTCATTTCTCTCTCAATATATCTGTATCACAGCTGTATCTTCTCTTTTGTAGAATCATTCAGCAGCTAGTGAATGGAATAATTGCACCCACTGCAATGCCAAATATTGGTGTTGGACCCTGGTGAGTGTCTGAAACAGAGCTGAAAATAAATTCTCAATGAAATGCACCTGGTGTCTTCTAACTAACAAATGTCTGATTGTTTTCTTAAAGGGGTGTTCTTCACTCAAATCCTATGGATTATGCCTGGGGTGCTAATGGACTAGATGCAATTATAACTCAGGTATTTTTCAGAAACCTTTCCATGTTTTCAAAGTGATTTGTGTCCATATTCAAAGAGAGCCGGTTTTGTTTTTATCTTCTGAATTAAACATTTAAGGAAATAGGCAGCACATGCAGTAATATGCATAAAAACATGCATCTTTTTTTCCCCTCTCGTCTTTAGTTATTAAACCAGTTTGAGAACACGGGACCTCCGCCAGCAGATAGGGATAAAATAAAAACTCTTCCCACTGTTCACATTACAGATGAGCACGTTGGTAAGTAAAACATAAAGTATGGTTATAAAATGTTTTATGTCTTGTTTTCTCCTTTTTCCTGATATTTTAAACTGTATTATTTGGACAGCGGTATACTTATCTTTACAAAAGATGGTTGAATGCTGTTAGTACGTTGCAGTGTAATTGTAAAGCAAGCACTGTTTTGCCACACAAGCTGGCTTCATGGGGCTTCAGTTTTGAACATGATGAGAATAATTCATTTGAAGCATCTTGCCATGGACTTGAGTTAATAATTCAAGTGAACTCAAAGGCATGATTCTGTAAAAAAAGAACCTGGTGGTGACACAGATAACTCAAGTAGTGCATGTATTTGATAGTCACCTACAAGATACCTTTCTCTGTGGAGCAGCTCAAGACTTTATACCCAAAGATAATGCAAATTTAAGTTTTAGTGTTATAGATTTTGATTTGGGGGAGAGTTGTTCATTTTCACTAGAATTATTTGTATTGTCTTAGACCATAGGAATGTTTGAGTTTTAAATATAGGGTGTACTTCACCTTTAACACAACCATCCCATCACATCAGGTTGTAGAGAACTGGTTGTGCAGCTGCCACTTTGTATAGCTGAAGGCAAGTCAGACCTGTACCACAGCATGTAACCCTTTCTTTTGGTTTAAAACAAAAAGGTATCTCATCTCATTGTACTCATGCGTGCTGTGGCTGTTGGCTATTTAAGCTACAGTTGGTGACTGCTATGAAAATAACTTTGGGTCATATTTGCTGAAAGTGTCACTATATTCTGAAAGAAATGTGTGAGACAGATAATCTGTGAAAAAGAATCATGTCCTTCCTCCTCTTCCGAGTGCCTCTGAGGCAGGGGCGTCAAACATATGGCTCGTGGGCCAGAACTGTCCAGTCAAAGGGTCCAGTGCGGCCCACTAGATGACTAGATTAAGAGGAGCTAGGTTACAGGAGCAAGTTAAACAGTGAATATCTGCTTCATGTAAAATGCTGCTTAAGAGGCTTTTCCACCCTGACCAGATTTTTGTTCTCTAAAAAACACTTAATACTTATAGATATTGAACATTGTGCAAAACATTGTCAATCAGCAGCTTTAGTACCAAAGAATCTGAATCAGACTTGTATCTTAAAACATTGTTGGTGGAACCCTGTTGCTAAAGAATAGAAATGCATGGATAAATGCATATGTAATGACTGAGAAGTAGACTGTGGGGAAACTGTGACATATTATTGAAATAGTGCTGATTCTTCTTAAAACTTCTCAGGTTGTTCATCTGTCTTATAAACAGATGAATGTTTATAGAATGTGCTTGTACTTCGGTTGCTTTTTATAGGTTATTATGCAATGGCTTTATTGATCCAGCCCACTCAATGTCAAGTTTGGCTGTATGTGGCCCATGAACTAAAATGAGTTTGACACCCCTGCTCTAAGGGCATTCACTAGAATCGACCGAGGCATCAAAAGCAACCAGTCAGAGGAATCTCTAACACAGCTGTCAATCATGTCAATCACTCTGTTGACTGCGGTCCATTCTCGGAACCCATCGGCTGTATTCGGCGTCTGACTTCCGGCAGACAGCGATACAGCCTCTGGGGGCAGACCCCCGATTTTTTTTGGCATTCCAGTTTGATTTGGGTGGAGGAGGCGAATCTCCGTTTCCAACTTCCGTTTATATATCATTACTTTTATTTATGTTGTTGTAGGCTACTGTCATTACCGTCTGTCCTGCATCTCTCTCTCTCTCTGTCTCTCTTTCTGTCTCATTGTGTCATACGGATTACTGGTAATTTATTATGTTGATCTGTTCTGTACGACATCTATTGCACGTCTGTCCGTCCTAGAAGAGGGATCCCTCCTCAGTTGCTCTTCCTGAGGTGTCTACATTTTTTTTTCCCCCCGTTAAAGGGTTTTTTTGGGGGGAGTTTTTCCTTATCCGCTGTGAGGGTCCAAAGGACAGAGGGATGTTGTATGCTGTAAAGCCCTGTGAGGCAAATTGTAATTTGTGATATTGGGCTTTATAAATAAAATTGATTGATTGATATAAGTAAATATGCTGAACCATTGTGATGGATTCAGAGTTTGCAGTAACGCCAATTATGTTCCGCCTCGTTAGTTCACCGCACGGACCGTTTAACCTGGCAACAACTGCAGACGTGATTGGTCAATATCACACGGACTACAAACAGCCTACAACCAGAAACCAGGGCTCTTCCGCTCTTCTTCCGGAGGCAAGATCTTTGGGGTTTGCCTACAGACTCTAAATTCACTGAATGTAGAGTCTGTATATAGAGACTAACTGCGGTCAGACTGTCAAACTAAACAGCCTTAATCAAAAAGTGATTAATCAAGATTCTTCAACTACTGTATTGCCTATTTCTTGCCTCAGATGTTTCAGAAACATATTTTAGTGTACTGTTTAGCTGTTAAATGAGAACGTTGGTCCGGCTGGTGGGCTGTGCTTGGATTTCCGCTTGACTGTTTCCAACGTGGGAGCTTGGTTGCACACTCTCATTTAACAGCTAAACAGTACACTTGAATATGTTTCTGAAAACAGTTGAGGTGAGAAACAGTATATAGTAAACATAATTTTTTTTTTTGGTATTTTTTGGGGCTTTTGCCTTTTAATCGATAGGACGGTATTAAGTGTGAAGGGGGGAGAAAGAGACGGGATGACATGCAGCACAGGAGTTGAATGGTGGCTGTGGTAAGAGCATGGCCTTTGTACTCGGACGCCAGCCCTACCCACTGAGCTACTGGGTTCCCCCGCATTTACAGAATCTTGATTCATATTTGATCAGCGCTGCCTAGTTTGACAGTTACATCGCAGTTCATGAGCAGTGCTGCGTTTGGGACTCCTCGATTCTGATTGGTTGTTTTCGTTTACATGCAGTAATGCCATTAGAAGCACAACCAGGCAGAGGAGTATTATGTTTTTTATAGGTTATCTGTCTCATTTAGTGCTGTGTGAATATAGTGACATTCTCAGCAAATCTGAAGAAAGTTATTTTTTATTAGAGTTACCAAGAGTAGATTATATTATCTAAATAACATCGATGGTTCATAATGTTATGTAACTATTTATAAACCTCTCATCCAGAACCACTTGATAGATCATATTTCATGTTTCTGACATTTTCAACTTGTTCTGTTTTGCAGCTTCAGGACTGGAATGTCCAGTGTGTAAAGAAGATTACAGTGTTGGAGAAAATGTGAGGCAGCTCCCGTGCAATCACATGTTCCACAACGATTGCATAGTCCCCTGGCTGGAGCAGGTATTAAATATCAGCTATCTAATGCTCCTCCCACTCAAATATTCACTGTGTGCTAACTGAAACTGTGTAATGGGGAAGCATCAGCAGTGACGCTAATTCTCATTTATACCACTCTTTCTCTGCAGCATGACACGTGTCCAGTGTGCAGGAAAAGCTTAAGTGGACAGAACACGGCGACGAACCCTCCAGAACTATCAGGGATGAACTTTACCTCCTCTTCCTCCTCTTCGTCCTCTTCATCCTCCTCTACCCCTCAGTCCTCAAGTTCGACCAGCAATGAGAACTCCACTGATAACTCATAGAGAACCATTTGTCCTTATCACCCCACGAGCTGTTTATAGCTCCTAGGCTGCTGTACTTCAGAGCGGTGACCTCCAGTCTCTCCCCGCTTCGGGGCAGAGACCCGAGTGCATCTCGCCAGGAGCACTCAAGCCAGATTCAGGGGAAAGTGATACGTGAGGTTCATGTATTTCTGCCCGTCCTGTTGCTCCAACCTTCGTCAGGCATCCGAACAAAGGAAAGGCGGAGGCCTGGAGTGCAGCTTCTGTCAGGGAGGACGTGGAGAAGCATGGAAACTTCAAGAGGCTCAATCTGCCTGAATCACCTCATACAGGAAGAGAAAACAAAGGAATCCAAAGGTAGAAGACTCGGGACAAGAAGACAGTCGCTGTTCTTTTTTTGTTTTTTAATCTCCAGACTTGTATGATTTAAAACGACCTCCTTTTGCCTATGAAGCAAAAAGAAATGTACAGTTATTCATTTTTTATAAGTAGCATTCATATCTCACATTTAAAACGACCCAAAGTGCACCGTAGTGCACTGTGAAAGTGTGCACTTAAGTCTGCTCGTGGTTTAGAACGATACAGTCGATTCCTTTTGCTCTCAAAACAAAATTCATATAGCTTATGAAATGATTTTATCGTCAAGATCCACCTAACAGATTACCTGACACCACACAGGTACTGTTGTTTGCACTTAAAATGATGCGTCAAATTGCAGTAATCTCGTGCTGTTTGGATAATGATGTGGATAATCATTACTAAATTACACACTTAAGGATTTTTGCTAAGTTATCTTAAAGCTGAAAAACACTTAGAAACATTTCAGTGCATTTTAACTTAAAGGTAAATTAAATATTTTCTAAAGTTGGCAGTTGAAAAAAAAAATTTATTTGCAGTATGATTGTGTCAAAAAAAAAAGAACTGATATGAAAATAAAACTGTTTGGGTGCTACCACTCAAAATTCATGTAAAGCATTCTCGGTGTGTGTATACATTGTTCTTTAAAGGTCTAATCATGAGCAACAGTAGTCATGAAACGGACTTTAACTTCAAACAAAATGTGTTTTAATTGTATGTGAACAACCACAATGTGTGGTGCTGTGGTTCGACACTAGATGGGAGCGCAGTAAAACAGGCTAGACGTTGGTGCAGCAAATAAGCTATAATTGAATAAAAAAACAGTCACTTGTTTGTCCTAATATCAAATAAAGAAAAAAATACTATGGTAAACATTCTGTGGCAAATGGGCACGTTATGAGCTGTGCTGGTTTGTGTTTCCCAGCTTCAAATATTTGTCCCTTTTAATGACATCTCGCCGGCTCTTAGAATAACCGGGCATCAGCCAGGGAACAAAAACATCATTAGTGAGCACGGCTGGAAGTGATCTCAATGCATAACGCAGTTTATGAGATCGGGCAGCTCCAAAGGCACGTAGATAGTAAACAGTCTCTGTTAAATCTTTCAATTCTTGGGTGCTTGCTTGTTTAGGTACTATCAATAAGCCAATAAATACTGCTTCCTTTCATTGTGCAGCCATATGGGTGTATTTCCTCTGCATTGTACCTCTGCTCCCCCCCTGGGGTTCAGGTTCAAAGGCCTTTAATGTGAGGGGATTGTTATACGCACATCACTGGTGTACCTAGAGGATGAATGGATCCACTTCACTTGTGGCTATGAATTTGACTTTACAATGTGAAATAGCTCATTCATATTATCGGTGTATTGTTGCCTTTGTGGTTAACACTGCAAGTTTTTGTGCCATTGTAACTATGGATCGTGAAATATGGCGATGTGGTTGGTATGTAGTTACAGATTCAATGTGTGGAGCCACCATGTTGGATTTAAAATACACAAAATATCTTGTGACAGAACATTCAAATTCTGGGTAGTACTATGAAATTGTTATTTTTTAAATAGCGGGATTAACGTGAGGCCACAGACAGACTTTCAACCTGTCTTTTTATTTTGAAATAGGTTGTCAGTAATTTGTCGTGTGTGTTTTTTAGTTTGTTTCTCTTTACAAGTCTCCACTGGACAACTACGCCCACATATATTTTTTTTAATACTTCAATTTTGTCATCCATCTTTATTTGCCTTTTTACAAACTTTGTCATTCTGCAATACAATCTAGAATTTTGAAATGGTTTAGTGTAGTGTGATGCCTATAGTGGATTACCTGATTAAGAAAGACCCTAGTTTGTCTGAAACAGTGTTCCCTGCTTATCATCCAACAGCATGTGGCTAAAAGTGCCTCTCAATTCAAGGACAGGGACTTTCCAAGGGAGAAGGCAGGACTTGAGCACTCTGATCAATTTACAGCCTTTAATTTACACAATTAAAATCTGTAAATTGATCAGTGTGCTCCAGTCCTGCCTTCTCTGTTGGAAAGTCCTTAGTATTTTCTGTTTGTACATGTTCGATGAAACCTAGGGTCTCATTTACATACATAATGTACACACAGAAAAAGGCCTGAAAGAGGCAAAAGTTGTGATCTATAAAAACAGATTTGATGGGAGAAAGTTTGACCTGTGCTTACCAGCATTTTGGAGACGGAAAATTGGCGAGGCAAATGGTGAGGTGGAGGCCTGATTGTAGAAATTGTTGAATATTGTTTGGCACACGCCATTCTTGGCTTTTGCTGTACATACACTTTTAGTATAGATCCAATACAGTATAGACAGCAACAAGCTAAGACACTGTTAATTTGAAATTACTCGCTTGAAGACATTGGAAATTTTCAGCTCATTAAAGGACATTGGGACTTTATTATTGTCTCATTTGAGGACACTGGGACTTTATTATTGTTGACAATGTTACGTTTTTTATACCTATCAAGTCCTACTAATCCCAAATAGAAATTGAAAGTGCATACAAAAGAAAAGTTTAGGTCTCAGGAGGATATTAGGTGAGAAAAGTCATCTAGATTGGACCCATTGGCGGCTGGTTCTGGCCCTCATTATAAAGCTACCGTTACTATTACACTTTCCTAAGAATGATCCCCCGAAGTAGCTTGTAACTCTTGAAATATAATGACAGTCAACACTTAATACAAAATGTATACGAAGGAGACAGATTCAGTTGTCATTAATGCCTTTCAGACATTTTAATATACACTGCCCCACTTGAGTGAAAACATTTGAGTTAAATGGAAGTCTGATCTCTCATTTAAAGTGTCAGTAATTCAATTACACCAATTTCTAATTGTTTTATTCTTTAATTTCTCAAAATATGTCCAGCATGGGCTTTATGGGTATGTAATGTACCCTTTAAGCCCATGGGTTTTCCAAATAAGCTCACTTCAGGATTTGTTGCTTAAATAAAAATATAACATTTTACACACAAATTTAATAATACAAACTCGTTCTGTTAAAATCTGTAATTTCTTAGTTTTCAATGGCTATTTTGACACTAAATGGTGGCATTAATATGATTTTATGACATCATTACATGCTTTTTTGAAACATTAATATCCCTTAAAAATGTAATTTCCTTCAAACACTTGTTATTATCTATTTTGTTTGGTTGTTTTTCATTAGATAATAAACTGAGATGTGTTTTACAAAACTATATAAGAATATTAACTCGTCGGACGTGGCCACGCCCCCGAAACAATACGTCATGCGTACGTGCTGCTCAGGGTGTGTGCGTGAGGTGCAACTAGAGGACGACCAACTCCGTCGGCCTCACTGTTGAGCATTCAGCTCCTACATCTGGCTGGAAGTTCTGAAGACAGGACGGAACAAGATTCAGCCGTCGTAATCAACTTAGCTATTTTTTATTCGACGAATTAGTAAACCGAAATATCAGCTATGAAGTTACTGTGGGCTGTCAGTGCCCTGCTGCTGAGCTGTTGGCGAGCTAATGCGTCCACAGGTAAGAATTTTGTGTCAGCCATGTTGGTTGAGAAGATGTAGACTTTGCCCTGACTACGAACATTAAAATGTCCATTCAGGTTCCTGTTTTGTTAACGTAACGACATGTATGTTATTTGAGGTCGAATACCTTTCTAACATTTGATTTTAATACAAAACATGTCCGGCATTAGTAGCAAACAGTCATATATAGCAATGCTAAGCGTGGTGTGAATGCTAGCGGCACATTTTGCTAATTTACAGTCGCAAAATCCACTCGGACGTTTAAGATAACCGGCTGTTTCGTGACTGTGGTTAAACAGCATTAACACAACGTTGAGTGTCTCTTTCCTTCGTCTGTGCCAGCTTTACACAAAGGGATTTAGATATTTTTGAAACGTTAGCTGATGTAATCGATCACATGAGCTGCAATGTTAATTTAAAACGTATGGTGCCTCGGTAATGTTTGCTGTTGTGGTGTCCGCTGAGCTCGTTGTTATGTAACGTCAGTAAGGGTTGCCATCCATTAGTAATTAATAAAGACTGTTGTCTTCACTCTCACCCCAGATGGTTAAATAATCTTAGTCATTTCATAAGTCTCTTCTGCACAGCCTTTAAGGAACCGGAGCTCCGGCGTGGTAACGTTAGAAATGACAGCTTCACCCACTGAGCATAGATGTTTGCTTGTTCTGATCAGACGGTCATCAGTTGTCTTTGATTCATTTAGCCAGTAGGCCCAGTCCACGTGATGCTATCAGCTGTCACAATACAGTATTTTAAGTCGTCTTTTATTTTCTGTAACAGCATGTTTGCTCTTAAAGGCTGGCGATCCTGGTCGTATTGATGGCCATTAAATGACCTGCCACTGGCCCTTCCTATCAACGGCTTCCTATCACCCTGTGTCTTCATTGATTGACCACACATGAAAAGCTAAAATGTATTCACACACAGATCTTTGCTTGGTTACAGTGATCCTTATCAATTATCTGTTGAATGTGTCAGATGTGATGTGTGTGTCAGCATTGCAGTGACAGCTGTTAGAGAAAGAAGGAAGAAATGAATGCCCCTAGGAATTCGGTGGTCGCGATATTAGTTGCTTATTAAATGTCTGTCAGCAATGCAAATCGCGGCAGTGTTTTAGTTTTATTATAAAACTACCATTGTTGTCATAATTTCCTAAAAATGATCCCCCAAATTAGCTTGTAAACCCTAAAATATCATGACAGTCAGCACTCAATTCAAAATGTATACAAAGGCGACAGATTCAGTTTTCATTGTGTCGTTTTAATACACTGCCCCACTTGTAGTAAAAGCATTTTAGTTAAAGTTAAAGTATTATCTCTCATTTAAAGTGTCAGTAAGAGTGTTTATTTTGTCCAAATATGTCGAAAGTGCAGCATGGGCTTTATGAGCCCTTTAAGCCCAAGGGTTTTCCAAATTAGTCCATTTCAAGATTTGTTGATAAATAAAAATATATTTTAAAAATTTACCGATACAAACTTGTTCTGTTCAAATCTGCAATTTTTACCTCTTAATAGCTGTTTTTTTTATTTTGTCACCCCTGCTTAAAAGTAAATAATGTTGAAATTCCTTTGAGCTTTCTGTGTTACTGAGCTTTAACATTGAGTTACTCATAGGTACATTTCAAAATATCCAATTTGCGTCATTTTCCCCTCGGGTGTTTCGTCATCCCAAGGCAGTTAAGACAGTCGGGCAAGCACATGCTCTGACATAGTATGTTGTTAAACCATGGGCTGTGAAAGTCAAATGCACCCTTTCTTTGCCATGGTTTAATGAAGCATGGGTAACACCGGGCAACTTTTATATTTCGCAGAGCGTTGGTACCAGAAACCAGGCTGTTTATGTGTGCATGTGCGTCAAACACAAGAAGCCCTCATACCGCTCTGTGTTTCCTGCTTTGGTCACGACAGCTCTGGAGTAGATCATGAGTAAAATTAGATTTCCCTAGAGGTTCAGCTTCTTCTCTAGCTTAACTTTGGCATGGAAAGTGGGTTATGAGGCAGGCAGGCAGGTAAGGCTGATGTGTGTGAAAAAGGCACGAGAAGGCAGTCATTTCACACATTTTAAGTGCTGAATGTTTAGTCACAGTAATTTGGTAAATGGTGGTGAACACAGACCCATTTTGGTTATTGACCACCATTTTGAGATCTCAGCTGCTAAACCTGCTCTCACTTAAATTACCCTTTTATGATAAAAGCCTGCAGTCTAGCCAGCAGCACTGACAGCGGCAGGCTGTTCTTTAGGGTGTGGGAGTTGACATTCTTATAGTAGTGACACATCTCAGGTCCCACCACAGCTGAATGATCAGACTGAGTGGGCTACCTGAATAGTGCACTGCTGACAGACAGACAGACCTTAAAGATCAGGTCACATCCAGTGAATGTCTGTGGGCTTAGAGTGACAAATATTTGCTTCCAACGCTGAGTTTTTTTTATTCCCAAACAGTGACCTTCACCAAATAATACAAGGTTGAAATGAAAGCTTGAAATGACCTCTTTAAACAGTGCACCTGCTTCCATGTGTGTTACTGCTTTCTTCATGTGGGAAGCATTAGCATCCATCTTCTGTTGGAAAGGATGTTACATTGTGCTAGCTTTTCCTGTTCAGCGTGGAAAATTCAATATACTTTGTTACTCGAGGGTTGGAAATGGCC